AAAAGGGTTGGAACACTTTCCCTATGAAGAAAGGTTAAAACGCTTGGGGCTCTTTAGCATGGAGAAACGACGGCTGAGGAGTGACATGATCAAGGTTTAGAAGATTATGCATGAGATAGAGCAGATTGAGAAAGAAGTCCTTTTCTCCCTTTCTCACAACACAAGAACTCCTTGTGTGCACTCCATGAAACTGCAGAGCGGTTGAGTTAGAACGGATAAAAGGAAGTACTTCTTCACCCAAAAAGTGATTAACACATGGAATTCACTGCCACAGGAAGTGGTGGCGGCTACAAGCATGGACGGCTTCAAAAGGGAACTAGATAAGCATCTGGAGCAGAGGTCCATCAGTGGCTATTAGCCACAAGGTATAGATAGGGGCTCTGGGGCAAGTGATGCTCTGTCTTCTTGGTGCTGGGGGGGGGGGCTCAACAGTGGGAGGGGCTCCTAGTGTCCTCCTGGCCCCACTGCTGGACCTCCTGATGGCCCCTGGTGTTTCTGGCCACTGTGTGACACAGAGTGTTGGACTGGATGGACCTTTGGCCTGATCCAACATTGGCGTCTCTTGTGTTCTTATGTTCTTAATGCGGGGGCCACAGTCAGGAACGGGCGGCACCTGCCAGCACCTGAGGTGCCAGGGTGGCTCCAAAACTAACCCCAGGAGGCTGTAGGGGGCAAGAGGGGTTTTAACACAGGAGGTCTTGCCCAAATGGCCAAAGTAGGAGATCACTAACACCCAACGGTTCTAACTGAAGCCCCTCTAATTCAAAAAGATCCCCGCCGAGACCCAGCCACGGGGGGAACCGGGGACTGCTGCTCCGGGGCTCCGAAACTCCCACGTTACTCACGAAGTTCTCCAACCTGCAGGATCTCACACAACATTCGGGTGAGCTCGATGGCGCTGCGCCCAAAGGGGCACTCGTGCTTGTCCTCCCGGCTGCTGTTTTTCAGGACAATCTGCAGGGTGGGGGGGGGGGAAGTGGGTGGAGAGAGGAGGCATGAGAGAAGGCGGCTGGCCCCACGGCCCAGGGGGTCCCTTGCCTGGGGAGGCCCCTCGGGTCCTACTCCAGCCAGTTTGGTGTCGTGGTTAAGTGCGCAGAGGACTCTAATCTGGGAGAACCGGGTTTGATTCCCCACTCCCCCACTTGCACCTGCTGGATGACCTTGGGCAAGCCACAGTTCTGCCAGAGCTGTTCTCTCAAGGGTAGTCCTCGAAAGAGCTCTGTCAGCCCCACCTGCCTCGCAGCAGGGTGTCTGTTGGGGGGAGGGGGAGGGGGAGGAGTCTGTCAGCCGCTCTGAGACTCCCTTGGGGGTAGTGAGGGGCCATGGGGGTATGGATCCAGTCTCCTCCTCCTCCTCTCCTTCTTCTTCTTCTTACCCGGACGTAGGTGTCCTGATGGTTCTTGGCCAGGTACAGCATGTTGTCCAAGGCCAGCATCCCTGGCGGGGTCTGCGTGAAGTCCAGGGCGGGGTTGATGTGGTTCTGTGCACGAGAAGAGAGACCATGCCACAGAGATCATGCCTGGAGGGGAGGGGGTCCTCTCCCGTGTCCTCCCCGGAGGCTGGCCTCCCGACTACCAGCCAAAGGGCCCGTGCGAGATGCATCTCGGCTGACTAAGCCACTCATCGTTCCTCTCTCACACACACACACAAACACACTCACACACACACACACCCCGTCGCTGCAGGACCTACGGTGAAGCCTAGCATCTTGTAGTCCTTGATGTACATGGCTTTGCGCTTCTCCATGCCGCCCCCAGAGAGGCTGTTGCTCTCGGCCTCTGCGTCAAAGGCGATTCTTCGTAGCTCAAAGATGATGTCCCTTTGTGCCTGGCGGAGAGGGGCAGTGAGAGGGCGGCTGGTGGAAGCACCGGGTGGGGGGGAGGGGGTGGCAAGGGCAGCCCAGCCCTCGGGGCCCGGCCCTCAGCCCGCCCGCCCTCTCCGGCATCAGCAGCCACCTGGTCATTGGGGTCCATCTTGGTCATCATGCGCTCTTCCAGGAGGTTAAAGGTCAGGACCTGAAGCACGTACAGCTGGTGAGCCATCTCCGTCTTGATCGGGCGGTTTCCTCGGATGATGTGCTGCACATTTAAGGAAGGGAAGATGAGGAACCGGCAGGCAGGAAGGAAGCAGGTAGTGTAGGACCGCCCGGGCCGTCCTTTGGCGCCGCCATTACCCCACACGGGTTTCTCTGGAGCTGGGAGGGCCAGAAACCCCTCGGGGCCCCGCATGTCCCACACGCGGAGGGCAGCCGGGTGGCACACACAGGGAGACGGAGCTGGGGGCACAGGGGTCGCCGTGGGGGGTGCGAGGGAGGCCCCCTCCGAACTCGTTCTCTCTGTCATAAGGCCATGCAACTGACCAGCGGGGACTTACGGTCAGGATGATGGAGCGCAGGTGCTTCTGGGCGAAGGCGTTGGCCATCTCCTGCCAGGAACACGCAGGGAGGGGAGGAGGGGGAGAGAGAGAGAGCGGGCAAGAGATCCAACCTTGGCCCACTTGCCAACTGGGGCCAGGGGGAAGGAGAGCCCCTTCTGGCCAGCCCGCTCCAGGCACAGACACCCCCCCCCCCCGTCCCAAGGCA